TATTGAAATTAAATAAAATAAAATAAAATAAAAAGATTAAACGAATAAAAAAATAAATGAAATGAAATGAATTTGTCTGTAATGAAACGATCATATTAAATTATTAAAATTTATATTATATAAAATTTTTATATTTTCTTTATTGTAACGATAAAAAATATATTTTATTATAAAATATTTAATAGATATTTTTATATTATTGCAAGGAAATTATTGCAATAAATTCTATATTTGTTAAAACTCGGATACTTTAAATATTTGAATTCATGAATTCTAAAGCGAAAAAAATAAATAACATAATTATACGCAAATATTATTACGCTTGTTAAACGCGTAATAAAATGAGGTTGACATAAGTAGACTTCGTTGAGTACCATTCTATCTTTCCAATTTTTATTTTACTATAATTAGATTGCGAATTTTTATTATTATATTTTCTGTACATGAATTTGTTGAATCAAACTTTAATTGATATTAATTTTGACAAAACTATAACCATTAAAAGCTTTATTAAAAATTCATTTCACATAACCTAACATTTTTCTCATTTATACAAAATATAATATATGTATATAAAAAATTCCATAATTTCCAGTTTAATTATAATGAACATAATTGTATTATGTATTTTATATACCTCTACAGTTTTTTAATTAACGCTTAAGAATTTTATCACAAAATTAAAAGAAAAATATTTGCCTATTAATATTTCTAACATAAGATATTAAATAGAAAACTTGAAAGATAAAAGATGCAAACACTTGGAAGGGGAGGTTCATCTTTACATCAATCGATCGGTTAATTATGCAATCGTTTCACCTATATGTGAAATATAATCGCGATAGGACACGACTTCTTTAGCAATTATAATGTGCTATCGAGGCATAAAAATTGTTATATGACTTTTATCGGTATAAATCGTTGATGATTGCATACAGAGTGCACAATTCACTTAAAAACAACTGGAAGGGAGAATATATTTGCAAGCATAATTTGCGGAGAATAATTGCTAGATATGAAATTTGTTTTCTCTTCGTTTCGTTAAAAAATCAAATGAAGATCAAATATTTGGTTAATCTTCAGATTATGTTAGATTAAGTTCAAATTTTTCTATTATATATTAATATAATAATTAACTAAACAATTAAATTAGGTTAAATTATATTCGTATTCTTCTATTGCAATAATTACTGAACTATTAGGTTAAGTTAGGTTTATATTTTTCTATTCCATTATTATAATAATCACTGAATTATTCTTTATTATAATTCTCAAGGATAATTCTATTCTAATTAGTATTGTTATCAAATTGTGTACAGTACCACAGACTGAAAACCCGAAAATTACGTTCAAGAAAAACTCGTACATCGTAGGTGAAAGTTTAGAGGCGAATTGCACTTCCTCGGCTGCACATCCAGTTCCTCATTTGACTTGGTATATAAATGGGAAGGAGGTGAGTAAATATCAAAGATAACAGGCATACTTGTGTCCAATAAATCTTGATTCATTCATGATGAATTCATTTTTCACTTGTAACATCATTCATTTAATTATGATAGTCTATACACATTTTTTCGATTTCATTTTGTTACAATTCTTATGATCGAATTGATATTAGAAACAACTAGCTATCAAGTATGATAACTTTGAGATAACTTTAAATAAAAAATTATGACATCAATTTATGACCATTTATGTTCGATAATATAAAAAAATTTTCCTATTGTTTTTGGTTTTTCTTTAATATTAACATTTTGTTTCGATTCTGATTCTCTGCAGATGAAGAATATTTCTTATATGAAGTTATAAATTAAATATTTAAATATTAAAAATAAAAAAAAATATGTATTATTTTGTGAAAATTTTATTATGAATAATACCACCTGTTTTTTTAATGCTATTATAACATCAACATTCGTCCGCAAAATATTAATCCGTTAAAACTAACCTAATTCTTATGTCACGATGTGAGAAATTTTTTATAAAAATTGTAACCAAACACCACAATGTTTTTGCCTGTTATATTAGGTGGATATCAGTCTGGTAAATCACTATCCTCACACACACCACAAAAACCAACTGATGTCCGCTACTGCGAAGCTGGTGATAGAAGTTTCCGCGTTGCATACAGGAAAAAACGGTAATTTGGAAATAAGCTGTCATTCGACCATCCCAGATTACGCAGTGCAGTATGCCGATATAAAGAAGGAATCGGTCACAGGTAATTATTCGATTTTATAAAATAATTTTTATTCTCTTTTCAATCCTCTATTTTTTTTTTTTTTTCATTTCTTCGTGAGAACGATTTAAAATTACAAATTCAATTTGCAAATAGATATCTATTTATCTTTCATAAATTTTATTCTTACAACTTCCGTTAATTAATTTAATTTTACAGATCTAATTTTGATAAAATTATTCTAGGAACGTTTGATTCAAATTAAATTTATACACGCACTCCTCTATATCTTTTATAGTAATTAAACGTGATTAAATTTTATTGTTTTTAAAAAATAAATTTTCCGAACTCTTCATGTGATCATCGTATATAATATATTTTCAAAATTCAATTTTTACATACACAATTTTTCTCTCATAAATATCTGCAAACACTGTATTTCATAAATCATATTTTTTCGCCGTGTATCGGTTACCGAACACTCATTTTTAGTGCCTCCCAATCAGATTTTCGAATTCTATTCAGCCCGTATGCACACGGTTTATTTATTTGCAATATTTTCTTTTTTTTTTTAACACATACACGTTTCATAAAAATTGGCTTGGTTTAAAAATGAAATTTGCTTTTCAAATGGAAATTCATATTTTCTAGATGGGAATCAATACACGCAAGTATTAGGGCCGATTTACAAATGAAGGAAGGGGAATTGTACACGCGAACAATTTCTCGCCATTTTTTCCATTAAAAAAGCATTTCTCTACTCTAATCTCACAGTCGTGAGATTTTCATCTCAAATACCTTTTCCATCGTTCATGTAAGGCATACTAATGAATGAGATGCGTAACCTCAAAAGTAGGCGTTCTAATTAACTCGTTTGAAGCCTTATTGCATCACAGGAAAAAACGTCCAATTAGAAATAGCAATTGCGAAAGTTATCTATGGCTTTTCCAATGCCATCTAGCTACATCTAATCTCTAGGAATATTTTTTCATTTCTATTATATTTGATTTTATAATAATAATAATAATAATAATATAGCATTCCGTGCAATTATTTTAATTATTATATTATAAAATATGTTAAGAATATCAATGCAATGTAAATTAATCTTATAATTTATAATAGATTAAAAGACTTACTCTCTATCTGCAATAGGGAAATAGAGAAAAATACTATGCGATGAATACTAGTGATTTTTAAAAATTTTTATTAGTTTATTTTCCAATAAATTATTTATTTAAAAATATTTTTCAGAATAATAGTTATAAATAATGAATTTTTTTATTTGTAATATGAAAATGGTATATTGAAAAAATATATTTAAAAATTATTTATATTTTTTCCTATAAAATATGTTAGGGAATAGATGTTTACATTATCCATTGAAAGGAAATTAATTTTTAGAATTTTTTCTATCATGTAATATAGCAAATTATTAAAAAGACTTTAAGTTTATTTCTTAATATTTTAAATCGTAATATTTTTTATTGTACTGCAATAATCACCACAAATCATCTCAATTGCATTATTTCATGTTCGATGTTAAATTCCACAATTAATATAAATTTTTAAATATCACATATTTTCGAGTCTCGCGTTTCTAACGTCAGACCTACTTTTTATTCATTGTTTCAGTGAAAATTATGTCGATGGTCGAATCCTCAGCACCAAATATCGCGTGGGGATGGCCCCTAGCTACGTTACTGTGTATACTCTGCGCGATGCACAAGATCATTCCTTAATAAAAGTCAATTGCTATAGGATAATTAAACGAAAGAAAAAAAAAAAAGAAACTAAAGAAAGAAGAAAAATTACAGGAAAAAAAAAAGAAAAAAAAAAGATGTGTAATATACGTAAACGAGAAGAAGAATAAATACAAGTGGAAAAAAAAAGGGAGAACTTGTGGGAAGGGGGGAATATATATTATATACATACATATATATATTAATGAACGAACAATCACAATGTCTTCCTTGATTATACCGAAATACACGGGGGCAGCGATTTTATTGTCTTGCAGAAATTTTATAAACTCATATAGACGCGGCTTCTTCGTGCAACTATTTTCGATTGTCGCTTGTATCGATCGTTATCTATTTCGCGAAAATATTGTCGAATCCGGAGGGAGAATTCCATTCGTTTTTCTGGTCATTTCGATTCGCACAAGTTCGAAAGAATATGACCATCGAAACGACGATAGAAGAAAAAAAGTAAAACAAAAAAGAAAAAAAATAAAAAGAGAAAAAAGATATCTTAGTAATAAATAGTAATTCGCCGGTTAACAGTAATTTTTTTCTAAAAAGGAAAATATAAAAAAAAAAATATATAGGCTACACACACGGGCGCATTTTTCTTCTTCATCTTCTCATATCGACCGCAAGATTAACTCGTTCACCATTATATTCTATATTTCTATACTTACTGGATTTTAAATCTTTTAAATACGTTGACACTATATATAGAATATTTTATTCGCTCGTATTCGAGGAGAATTTATTATATTCCTGAAAATATATATATGAAGTATCGTTTTTATTCATAGTTTAAAGAATTATATATCTATCGCTATTTAGTATATTACATACTTATCGATATTGCTAATTGTGATGCTAGAGACCTCTAGGTAATTTCGAAGAGATCTCGAGCATTTCAATGGACACATGTTCATTCGATAAGTGTATTATAATAATCGGAGACGGTGTAATGAATGTCAATTCGTAAATCGAATTTCTTGCTCGAAATTAAGAAGTGTAAAAGTATAGGTATTGTTTCAAATGAATATTAATCTTATCTTTTGTTTATTAGATGTGTAAATGAATTCACTGTTATGAATCGTGTAATAATATTGAATTATTCATTACAAAATAATTTTTATTATTATTCAAAAATATTTGAATTCGAAATAGAAAAGAAGTAAATATAAAAGATATCGAATTGATTTACATATCTAATAAATATATGAAGTTTAAATCGATATTTTTATTTCGAAAAATGAAAGAGAATTTAATAGGAAGAAATGAGAATTGTATATCTTTACTATATTATTATGCACTAAGGTTATATTTAGTTACTTCAGTTACTACTTTCTAATTGCTTTTTTATCAACACGCATAATCAATTATGAATATTATAATCGATTATTTGATGTTTTTACATTTCTAGTCCTAATATAATCTAATTATTGATCATAATGCTAATTTATGAAAGTAAGAACGAAGAATATATTTCATATACATATTATCGTCTAAAAAGATATTATTATAGGTTAAATAGATATGGTATATACGAGCTTTATACACGTGCGCATGTGAACGTTTTGTTTTTAAATATCTTAAATAGATATTTATATATAAAAAAATTATATATACACATATATATATTATATATACATATATGCGTGTTATGTGCTAACAAACGCAAAAATTATAGTCCAAAACTGGAAAATCCTATTGACAAATCAGAAATTAAGACTGTTGTACCTTGTTATCGGCATAATGATATATATATATATAATTCATCATAATGTTATTCGTTTATTTTGCTATCATTATTTTTTATTTGTTTATCACTTGTTTCCTCATGTGATTCCTCATTTTCTTTCATAATAAACAAAAAAATATCTTTATATAATAGTATTTATATATTATTATTATATTAATATAAAGATAATTTTATCTTTTAAAAAATTTTTTAATGCTAATGTTTTATTTTCACGGAACTTATTAAAAGTCAATGTAAAATCAATTAAATATGTGTTAAATATATATTCAGTTATATCGTGCAATAAAATTGTATATTATATATCAAATCAATCAAAATGACTAATAATACATATTTTGCAATTAATAAGTACAAATTTAATTTATATTATACTGAAAAAATATAATACCAAAACTGTGTTCCTTATGTCTTTATAGATAGTATGTATGTACAATTATTATAAACTTGCATATATACCTATTTTTATATAATTTTTTTATCATTTTTATATATTTACAATGTATAATTTTTATCGAAAAATAAATTTTTCATTTATCTTTGTGATAAATACGAAATAAAAAAAATTCCAATCTTCTCGAAATAAAATAATATTATTCGATATTATCGATAATTTTCTCGATTATATCGTGTCAGAAAATATACCTATATAAATTTTTCAATACATCTATTTAAAACTCTTCGTTTCGCTTTTATTTCTACGCAGTTTTATTGCACGTTGTAATCAATCGTCTATAACCGATTAGGTAAAATGTACGCACACGTAGGGTCTGTCCCTTAAGAGCATGTATGATAAAAGTTCTATTTTTAATCGAAAAAGGGGAAAAAAAAAAAAAAGCGAAAGAAAGAATGAAAAAGTTATCCCCTTCAAAGGGGATAAGTCTGGCTATTTTGTCACCGCGAGCGTGCATTTTATTACACGCCTATAAGTGTCTATATATCATGTAGAAAAACAACAAGGTGTTATTATAGAATTTCCTTGCCTACGCACCGTCGAGTCTGCATTGTCGATCAATAAAATTGTGTATACGACGGTTTTCCGGGACATCCCACGTGTGCACGATTCTAAAACGCTTCCGTTCTCCTTTTTGTCTTCTCTTCTTTTTATTTTTCAGTTTAACGCATTTTGTGCAAGGAAAGAACGAGAAGAGGAGTGAAAGTGATATATACATACATATACATATAATAGAGAGAAAGAGAGAGAGAGAGAGAGAGAGAAAGAGCGATTAGTGCAAATAAATGAGAAAGAAAGAGCATTATATCCATAATGGTAAGAGTGTTCTTTAGCAGGTGATACTTTCATCATATCGTGCAACATATCGTAGCGTTATAAATTAATGTAAAGAGTTAATCTTTTCGAGCCTCACGGCTACTTAATTGTTTCGAGAGATGCATGATAATAGATGCGGCACAATGCCGATGTAATGGAGACGCTGACAAACGCGATTCACCTAGTCATACACAGAGTGAATCGATTGAAAAGAAAGTTTAACTTTAAATAAAGATAATTTGATTCGATGACAATATACCTAGAATCTGATTTAAATGGTTTTGAAGGGTAATGGTAATAATAATTTATATTCAAACTTTTTTTTTTTTATGTATAGAGATTTGGATAGTTTTTTTTTTAAAAGTAGAATGTTGAAATTGTTGATCTATCATAATGTATCTTTAGAATTAATTAATTTCCTTCTTGCAATTCAATGTAAGGAATATTAAATTGTCAGGAAATAAATTGTGATATAATTATATTTATTTATTTTTATATGTAATAATTATATCTTTGTTTCATATGTTCAAGTATCTGTAATTAGATTTTTAAAATAATAAAATATTTATATTTCGTTAGAAAAATAGTAAGTATAAATAGTAAATGATTTTTATTTTGGTTGATTAATTTTATTTAAAATTTCATTTTAAGCTCTAACAACTTTAAATATTATACCGCAAAAAACCGTAATTAATTTTCGACCAAATAAATTGTAAAATTTAATGATATCAGAGAAATACTTGCTATAAAAGATAAATATATTCACTTATCAAAAAATATCACAAAGAATTTAAAATAAATCAAAATTACTTAATTTCAGAACTTGTAAATCAGCATACATATAATGGAAACAAAAATTTCTATAATTTAATTCTTGAAATAATTAAAATCGTATCACCCTATGGATACCGTTCTGGATACCGCAAAATAGAAGACAAAAGACGGCTATGTCACGAAAAAAAAGCAGCGAATTTGCACTGGTAGCACCGACGGTATTGTAGACAAATGATCAAGATGTTGTTATTGTTCACTTTGATGTGTTATTTTCAAGCGCTTATTGTTATTACAAACGAGGTTCCATCGAGCAACAATGAAACGATCCATTCGGTGAAAAAAGTAGCCGTGAGGATAGTCGGCGGAGAAATCACTGACATAAGAAATTATCCATTTATCGTATGTAAAATGCGCCCGTGACGTTTCCTAAATATTATCTAAAGCTACGGATACGCGAATCACTCTAATCGTTTCCAAGAAACAAAAATAAAAGAAGTGAAGTTAGCGATACATAGTGTCAAGATAATGTCAATTTATCAATTAATCAATTTATTAATTAACCTTACATAATACGCCTCAATAATGATAAGAAATATAATTCCTCATAAATTACTTTACTAGAATTTATAGAGAATAGCGGAAAATATGTAAAGTGTTTCCTATAAACGGAATTGATCAAAATAAAAGAGGCACGATAATACATCATGAAATATACAGGATAAAAATAATATGAAGTTAAATAATTTAAGAGCAAGTATTGATATTAGATATCTATTTGATAAAAAAATAAATCTAGATATATTTATCTAGAATAAAGTATTTGTCTAAAAATAAATTATTATATTTTGATTAAAATTTGACTTATTTAACTTCAAGAATAATTTACTGATAATAATCTTTTAAACCATTTTTTAAGGTTAAAAATAATAAACATCTAAAATATAATAAACATTATTATTTATATTAGATATTAGTTATGTGTCAACAGGTTTCATTATTTATATTGGATATTAGTTATTTGTCAACAGATTTCATTACATTTGTTTACAAAATATTTTACATCTTTAATCGTAAAATTGAATGAAAATTAATTATTTACATGTATTAAAAGTTAATGGATATAACTCATTTAAATTTAATCAACTACTGTCACATCTACACACAAGTTATTTGATTAATTCTGAAAATATTCATATACATTACCATAATAAATTTAATTGGAAACGATTAAAGTGTTCCGCGTAAAGATCTTAGTTGTATCGAAGTTGTAAGATGTAGGGATTCGCTGATGACGAAACCGAATTTTCAATGTCAATTTCTCGTAGGTCTCGGTACAACGGCGACACTTGAGTCATATCTGCGGAGGTACTTACGTAGCACCAAGATTCATTTTGTCAGCCGCTCATTGCATGGTCAGGTGCGTTCTAAGACTGCGACATTTATACAGTCTATGGCTCTTAACCCTAAAATGGTAGCAGAGTATCGTCAATGTATACTGGATCACGTGACCAACCGATTAGCGAAAAAATACTAGTGAAATGTTCGATAGTTTGTTAACGGTAATTTGAGGAATTCTCATTGGTGCTTGGGTAAATGCGATAAATACGTATTGTGGTTATGGAATATTCAGGCGATCATGTTTTATTAATATTTCAAGATTTTTTAACATTTTTGAACAAATGTTCAGTAATATTATATATAACAATATATGTATATTGATTTTTATGTAATGTTGAGAAATTTGAAATATTGATATACGTTAATTGTCTGAACGCTCCTTTAATTATTCTAAAAAATATTCTACATAAGTTTTTTGGAAATAATTGGATTAATTTTATGTCATTTGATCAATTATAGGAAAAGTATTAAAGGAATTGTGGATAGTCAATGATAAAAATTTTTTATAATTGTTCTTATTGTGCTGGAAAAGAAATGTGTTCAAGAGTTTGGATATTGAATTGTAACATATGAAATGGTTTTCTTATAATATTAAGATAAAAATATATTAATCGTTAATAAAAAATATCTGATTAACTAAATCAAGGAAATTTCTAGGGATCGAATTAGAATTCTAATAACATATACATATGTATTGTTCAGATTTTTTGTATAGATTTCGATGCATTATTTTTTAGAGCTTATTATTAGAAAATATCAACGATGGTTCGGATGGAATAAAGAAGATTCATGATCTTTGAAAATATTTTGAAGACATCATGTTTAAATATGAAATATGAAATACACATATAAATATGTATACAATATGTATGCAATATAAATATGAAATATAATATATGTTCAATCATTGATACTAGATGCATAATAAAATTAACTATCGATTTACGATAATTGCCTATAAATAGGATTTAGAAAAACAAACGGATAGACTTTACAGAATATAAATAATAAAAATAAGATAAATAAATATTGCGTATGTTACAATCCAATATAAACAACATAAAACAGTTCCAATCTTAGGTAGCAAGTAATTAATTATTAAGTATATAATTCTAACTTCCTCTTTAAAACGTTAAAACTTCCATATAATAAGTCTTCATATTAAATAAGATTGACGGAATTCTGTTTTTAAACGTTCTAGATTAGAAAGGGAAGAACGTTCATTTTCTTTAACATTTTTTAATCACGCGATGGTAAACGCGATGCTTGCATCTCATATACAGTAAAGTTAGTCTCAAAGCCATAGAAACGAGAACACACAGAATCGATTTCCTTTCAGTACTCGTCCTGCTAACGATTTTATAGGGATTAGTTAGTTCGATGAAACGCGCGATAAATGACATCTATAGTTATTTTTTTATTAAAATTTTAGATAGATAAAAC